CCAGGTGTTGAAGGTGGCTGCACACATGTGGCCACATTTGCTCCTTTCACCAACCTCACATGCAGTATTTTGATGGCTTGGCAGTATTTGGGAACTAACCAGAAGTCTGCTGCAGAACTCGACTGATTGGCCCAGTTCCTGGCTCACCCCCTCTGCAATCCAAGGGAGCTCACCAGTTTCCACCACTTGCATGAGGCCAAACTACTTGACAAGTTCCTTGGCACAAACAACCCATTTAAGGAAGAATATGGATGGCATTGATCTGTTGTCATGGTTCACCTACCAAATGAAAAGTTGAAGTGGCCATCTGAGTTGGCTGCCCCTGAAATGATTATTGATGGAGTCTGGCATCGGGACCTCATTGACATCATCACAAGCACCTTTCAAAGTGAACAGTTCAAGACATTCCACACCATGCCATTCAGACAGTGCTGGCAGGTTAGTGATGATCATGTAATTGACATACTTTCAGAAGCCTACTCCTCACTGGAAATGCTTCATGCACACAAAGACATCAATAAACTGCCTTGTGAACTGGATGGAGACCTAGAATGTGTTGTTGCATGCCTGGTGCTTTGGTCAGACTCAACACACCTTACCAACTTCAGAGATGTATCAATGTGGCCATTTTATATGTATTTTGGGAACCAGTCAAAGTACCTAGGGGGGAAGCTGACAGCCATGGCATGTCACCATGTCATTTACATTCTGAAGGTATGGTAGCTCCTGTAGCTGGTACATTGCATTTTGTGCTTATCCCTCACAGCTTCCAGACAACTTTCAAGATATCTATAGGGGACATTATGGTTAAGCATCCTCCAGGGAGATTCTCACTCATTGCAAGCGTGATTTATTCCATGCCATTTGGGACTTAATCCTCAACACATGGTTCATGGATGCTTACCAAAGTGGTATAGTCATACAGTGTGCTGATGGGATCACATGGCAGATATATCCCCACTTTTTCTCCTATTCAGCCAATTATCAAGAGAAGTCAGTCTCCTGTTGGTCGCTGGGGTGCCATACTAATGCCATCCTAAGGGTCTTGGTGGTGGGAATCAAATTTCTTGGTAAATGTGCCTGTCTGCAATGTCTTGTAGTGAAAAAGTCATTTTCAAAGATGGGCATGGCATGCAATATGTGACACCATGTCAGGCATGTTTGGATGGACAGTATTGAACAGCAGGGGCACATCAGTTGGGCACATAAGCTCATATTCAGAAAGGTGCAGCTGTCAATGGAAAGCAAGTGGGATATCAACTGAACAAGCACTCCTATGTTCCAACAACAGTCAGTGTTCAGTGTAAACTACATATAGAAGACTGCTGAATGGAATCTATTTAAGAATGCAGTTCTCTGAATGCCTGCTACAATTCATGGTTAACTTTTTCCTCCTTCTGGTCATGGACCAGCTCCATGAATTCAAGCTTGGTGTATGGAAGGCAATTTTCACACACCTACTATGTATTCTCTTTGCAGCAGGAGGTGATGGTATACAAGAACTCAATAAAAGGTAAGTACTTGTCTCATAATGATTTGACCAATCCCAATCTCCACTTGCATGTTTGTTACTCAATACATTCACCAGATTTTGGAACATCCCTACTTTTGGTCATGGAATGATTCAGAAGTTTGCCTGCAATGTGTCAGCCATGAAGAGACTTGCAGCACAAGACTTTGAGGACTTATTACAGGTTTGTGCAAGCCAGAGACAAACATCATCTACCTATTTGACTTTGCCTGGATTAGTGCACTATGCCTCCCTTCAAAAATTTGCTGCTGGAGCCTCACAACAGTCACATACTCAACCTACTATTTGACCTTGCTACTTGGCATGCATATGCAAAACTTTGGCTCCATACATCTGACACACTAGACTTGTTTGACTCTGCAACAGTCTCTCTAGGTCAGATGGTCTGTACTTTCATGAAGACGACATGTGAGTACTACAACACATGTGAACTACCACAAGAGACAGCTGTCCATGGCCACTGTACCACAGCAATGGCAGTAAAGACTGGTATATCAAGCTCAACTGGGTCATCTGGACCCAAATGCAAATCCCTCAATCTCCAAACATACAAGTTCCATGCCCTAGGTGACTATCCAAACATGATCTGACAATGTGGTACAACAGATAATTACACAATGCAACCAGTAGGATTGTTTTCACACAATTGTAAAACACTTACAGATGAATTTCATAGGGCAAATTTGAACATGGGTGGTTGAAGCAGCAGTACCCACAAACTTCAAAGAACCATGCTACAACAATGGCATCCATGAGCAAACATGAGGCTCGAGAACGAGTTCTTGACCAAATAGTCAAGTCTCTTGATAAATTGGCATGTGACAACACTGAAGGAAGTGAAAGTGGTGGTGAAAACCACCCAAGGCAGAAACATGAGAGGTCTTTGCCTTCTCAACATTACCACATTGCAGCATCATCATGAATTCCTGTGGACATCCCTGGTTTGCTGAGTTCATTGGCAGGTGACAGAGCCACTGAGGTATGTCATCTGGTGTGCATGGCTGCATGCAACCAACTAACTCTTCACAGGACTTTGTTGACTGCCTCAAAGACCATCTCCTTGAATGCATTCTTGGAGTGGACTACACTGGTGACCCACCAAGCTTTTCCAATGCTGACCACAACAATCTTATCATCTCACATGATATGATGTACGAGCATCAGACATTGCATGTTGGCTATACAACCTACAACCTCCACCAAGAACAAGACACCATTAATCCATGCACTCATGCTGATATCATGCTCTTGTCACACAAGACAGATGATTGTTGTCACCCATATTGGTACACATGCATTATTAAAATTTTCCACATCAATGTACAGTACTATGACAACAATGCCTCATCTGATGGGATAAAGTGGATGAACATGCTCTTTGTGTGGTGGTTTGGCTGTGATAACAGCAGACCAGGGGGATCAGGGTTTGCTGCATGCCAACTGTATCAGGTAGGATTCATTTCTGATGATGACCTGGATGCGTTTGGGTTTTTGGACCCAGATGTAGTCATTCATGGTGTCCATCTGATTCCAGCTTTCTTGCTTGGACGAACATTTGAATATTTAGGACCATCATTCATGCAGCCTGATGAGGACCTCCATGAGGACTGGTGATATTTTGATGTTAACATGTAAGTGAGGAAATAAATTGACATGGATGCATACTTAAAGCTCAGATAGGTTTGTTGATTGAGATATGTTCATGCAGTTTCAAGGTGGTGGCATAGGGCATAAGGTATCCAGGGAGTGGGATTTATTCTTACAATTGGACTGTCAAACTGCTGGTGAGGAGGTCAGTGGCACACATGAAGAAGCTGATACAGTGCAAGGAGCCAAGGAGGACAACAAGATGAGTGGATAAGAGGAAGATGATGATACAGACCTGGATGAGGATGAGGGAAGCTCCAGGCAAGCCTGATGATGACAAATCAGATGATAATGATGGTGAAATGGTGGCAGGCCTTGATGATAACAAGAACTTGTATGCCCAGGAGGGATATGGGATGCTTTAGTTACTCATCATTTTCATTCAAAGTCAATGATTCTGTCTTCTTAGATGCCTCTCAGCTTGAATGTGTACACATATATTCACATTAAATCATCATATATTCAATGTCATTTCTCAACAGATGCAATTATAGTTACTTTGTAATTTGCATTACCAGAATTTGCCAATCTGCTTCTGAGTGGCAGTGGCCATTTTGCTTCTGACATGGGGCCTTACTACAACAGGGTAATAATGGCAGGCAAAACCAGGGCAATGACTGTCAACATGCTTCAAGATGTCATCTACCTTGAAATCAATGGTGCCCTTTCATCCTGGAACATGCATTACTTCAATGTCAACATCACCACCCCTGGCAGGAAATGAGTCATGTTTTGTCTGAAAGATGTCTGCAGTAGGTAACACAAGCTATCCTTTTACATTTAAATGTGTATTCTAATTGTTCCCCTATCCCAGGAAGCCTTGTCATGATGTTGCTATACAAACAGACAGCAAGGAGGACAAAGGAGCAGGCCATGCAAGCCAGTGACCCCTCCCTCACCCAAGCCAATGATACTATACTCACAGTAAAGTGTGAGCCTACATTGCAAGACATGGAGAATGTAAAGTTTAGGTGTGCCATAGGGTATTCTTTGTGGTTTCTCTACTAATGTCTGCTCACAGCCCATGCTCTGCAACTCCCTGCCAGGTATTCAAGCAGTGCTCACCCTCCAAATATTCTGTCACTCCCCTTGTTCCTCTGGTCGTTGTCAACGAGCTTGCTATGGCATGCAAGAAGCTTAAACATCACCAGAGCTCCTCTTAGGCTTTCAATTTCCCTCTCAGTACAGATTACTGTAAAGTGTAACTATGTTTTACTACCGAGCATGTCGTAGGAGTGCATTCTAATGAAGTGATTGGCAAGGCCCAGAACAATGAACTTGTGGTGATATATATATTCATCGATATGTACAGGCATGTGTGGTAGACGCAAAATATAGTGACCAGCGCGCGCTGGATGTTGATGACTAGATCGATAAATGCTATGTCGTTGCCTCAGCAATCGACAGGACACGCGGGGGTGCACGGTATCACGAGACCGACTCGCGGCGCGTCAGCGGCACAGCCACTCGAAAATATATTCCTTATCGGGCAATAGCGGAGTTTGACAATTTTGGTGATGAGTCACACACCTGCCTTTCTGTCTTTCGGGCATCAAAGCGTGCCCAAGCCTAAGCCCTCGACTCTTAGACTCGTTCGAGCGCAATTCTACCAGATCGAGACTCTGTTTTCTGGTACATAAATTTCTTTTCTTTTGAAAGTTGTAAGCCCAGTTAATATGCATGTCTGATCTTGGGTAATGCCCTGTATTGACGCTATCTGACAGAGTCACCGAGATGGACGAAGTTATTGTGGCGCGAGCTGAGTTGGCTCGGCTAGAGGAAGATGAGCGAAACCTTGTCGAACAATTATTGGGTGTCCGTGCAGCCGCAGCGGCACAGAGGAAGAGAATCGACGAACTGATCCAGCAAAGACTACCACTCATCCAGCGTCTCCCCGTAGAGGTGCTCGTGTCAATCCTTCACCTTGCTCTCTGTGGAACCAATCCTTCAGAAAAAGGTACCCTGGCACTTGTATCGCGGCGTTGGAGAGATGTAATTCTGGACCTATCCGATTTTCTGGTCCGCGATAGAGATTCTGTTCTCGGAGGAGTTAAGCCCTGCTGTGAGCCTCCATTTGGAGAAAAGTGGCGAGGAACTGCTCGATATAACTGTTAGAGTTGGGTCGGACAGATACCACGGTACCCTTTATAAAGGTCTGGACCTCCTTGTTTCTTGTGCAAACCGTTGGCGCAGTCTTTCCGTCTGTTCATGGGCCTCTTCTACAACCATGCCGCAGTCTATTTTAGACCGTCTCGGTGCTGTCAAGTTTCCATCGTTGAACCGTGTTGAGTTCGGGCCGGTAGTAGATGCCTTTCCTACTTTCCTTTCCCCAACTAGTGTCGAGGTTCTGGAGCATTTGAAAATCTCATTTATTAATAATGATCCACACTCAACGCCTGGTATGTTTTGCAGCAAAGCTTTGTGGCTCTGAAGCCCATCAGTCTCATCAACTTTTCAGGCACATCATTGTTCATGCAGATGCCGGCTCTGACACTGGTGACATTATCACTTTCGGGTGATATACCACAGTGGTCACTCCAACCAAACAGTGTCTACTTTCCTGTTCTTGAGACCCTACAATTCTGGCTCAGAAATGCAGATGATTTCTTCAAAGCAATCATAGCTCCGAAGCTCACATATCTTGAGTATGGTGCTGTCTCGAAAATTCTGCCTTCTACTGTCTTCAGCGGTTTGGCGGACAAGTTCAGTAGCGTCAGGAAGATGTCTTTGCCAATGTTCTCAATCAGACTGAATACGCTGGATGCTCTGGCTCTTTGCAGAGCATTTCCGAGAGTTCTCCATGCGGAATTTGACTCGGCATGTACGCTGTCGGCTTTTTTCCGCCCCTGCAAAGGTATCGATGGGTTGCGATCTCCCGCAGATTACTGGGAAAGCCTCGAGACTGTGGTATTTGATCGCTTTGACCCTGGTATATGGCTGGAGCTACCTATTCGAGAAAACAATGACTTTGTACGGTGGCTTATGACACGACAGGACCTGCGCCCACTCCGGGTCCGCTTCAAAGACAGCTACATCCCGAACGAAGATGATGTTGAATCATTTTGTAGACTGTACGAAATACTCCGGGAATATTGTGTTGTTGAGCTGCAGGAGGTTACCTTGCGCCATGATTCGACGCTTTCAAATTCAGCAAGTTCTCGTCTGCAGCTCGTGAGTGATTCCCCTAATAGCGTTGTTCGTTCCCTCACCTCACAAATGCAGAGCGTGCCAGTGTTCACCACTGGCCTCGTGGATGACATAGTTGCCCTAACAGGGGGTACCACGGAATGAGGATTGTCATCTTACAGGTGGTAGTATATGCGCACGGACACTTTGTATTATATTTACCCCAGTGCTCGTCTTTGATCGTGCAATTCCTCCTTCGCCTGTGGTGTACGCGTAATTCTCAAATACCATTACCTCATACCATGTTTGGGAGATCCACGCTTTATTGTCGAGATATGGTCCGCCCAGCAACCGCCAATATTGTTACACAACGAATCGAGGACAAGAGCTCCATTTCCTTTGCCACGCATTTTCATCAGGGTGTGTGCTGTGATCTTGAATCTAGGCGGCAACCGTCCAAATGTGCGCCATACTGGTGCGTACAACCCTCAAGACATGAGGGCCATGGCTCACGACAGAAGCACGCACGGACAAAGCGTCGGTGTCCATCACCCGCAATAAGTTAATCCCTTCCGAGGGCCTAAATCACGGGTCGTTAACTTTGACTGCAACTTGTTGATGTTCATCACGCGTAAGTTTTTGCAGTGGTGCTACTGCTAATTGTCTGCTCCGCTTGGTACTCCCAAGTACACGCTACACCTAGACGGATGTCGTCGGATGCTAGCTATGCTTTTGCCCCGCCTCGACATAGTTTTGGGAAAGTTATTGGAGGTTGTTAGCCCCCCATCCACCGTATTACGTGTTTCACGGATACGAGCACTCATGTGCACTCTCGACGTTCTCCAACCATCGCCCTTCCTACCAAGCTGAATTGCACACGGCATCACAGTTTCAGTATTCCCAGATACATAATAGTTTGAACAATCAAAAGAATGCCGTGTATTAGACGTACGAGGCACAGAAGGAAGATGGCGAGGACTTTCGGCAAGAAACCATTCTTGCCAGACAACCTTGGCACCAGACGGATTGAAGACCAGGGACGAATAGAGATTAGCTCCTTAAACAGGTGAAAAGATGGTTTCCTGCGCGGCATTAATGACATACAGCGTGGTGACGGCGGTCGGTAAGTATTTATGTGACCTCCGAGAACGAACACGGGTTGCTTTGGGTGCACTTCAAAATTGACATCCCTGAAGTCGCGATTATTACGTGCTTCGGCATGCGAAACACAGATATGGTACCTGCGGAAACCTATGAGGGAAGACGATCGTCAGTTCGGACGTCATCATCATGACACCTAGCGTCAAGGAAATGTACGATGAGCAAGGTTATGTGATTGTGCCAGGCTTGGTAACCTCTGAGCACTTTACGCTACTAAGCAAAGCATGCGAGCGTGTCATAGCCAAAACACGCTCGGGCGCATGGCCACACCGACGCACGGTAGGGCGACAGTTTCCGCCCTATGAAAATGATAATACGGATTCCTGGGGCGTGCAGCACGTCATGCATCCGGATCTCGGTGAGCCTGTCTTTGCGGAGTGGTACACTTCGGAGGGGCTCTTGGCCGTTGTGAGGGAGCTATTACAATGTAGAGAAGACGAGTTGCAAATGGGTAAGTGGGTCAGTACTTCTGGCATCAGGCCGTCGCATCTGAGTGGGAATGCTGGGGCTAACACCGCAGTGTGCATGAACGGCGACCAGAGTTGTTCAATCTTTTGATTAACCCCTTGAACCATCATTTTGCCCTCCGATGGCATCGAGACGACGTGAAAGAGGATGCGACTGCAGACGAAGAAGCCCAGGCTCTCGCCGCATGGAAATATGGTGTACGTCTTTCCATGTGTATCAAGGGAGGACTTATGCAGTCAAATCCACTTCACATAGGTACAATGGAATACGTGAGAACGCCCAGCATTCCCCGCTTTCATCTGGTACTCAGATCTTTGACAGCGCGTTGTATGAGGATTCCTGTCTTTTTATTGTCCCGAAGTCACACAGAATCCCGAGGACGGCGGAGCAACGAGCACACTCTATCACCCAGGATGCACCTAAGAATCCTCTTGACATGCCGGACGCTATCCGAGTCACCCTTAGGCGTGAGTACCTCTGTTTCTATTTTTCTCAGATGATGGACTGAATTGTCGCTTTTAGCAGGGGAGACAGTGTTTTATAATTCCAACGTGCTCCACTGTGCAACATACGATTTAAAGAAACCGCGTTGTACACTACATGCATGTGTAGGGGATGTCAAGGGAGGCTCGACACGTGCTAGAAACGTACTTCAGCATGGTCTACGATGGATGACGGAGGATCGTTTTCGTTCTCAGCTCGGTGAAAAAGGGAGAGCGATGGTACAACGCCTTATTGCGATGCAGACCAGCGTGGAAGGGCAGGCTCTGGGCTACTCTCTGAGCAATTGAGTAAATATCGCCAGTACATACCTGTCAAAGAAGAATCATTGACATGTTGTACGTGAATTAAATAACGAAGTTCGGAAGGCACTGCAGTTCTTGTTTCAAAACTCCATCCTGAGGGACAATCCGGACCCTGATACCCGCGCCTTGTAGTTCGCATCGTAAAAGTGACTAGTGTCAGAACCAGAATATGTTTTGAAAATGACATACCTGCAAAGTTGTTAAAACCATATAGATCAGAGCCACCGAACCCTACTGGAAAACATACCAGATATCGAACGCAGCTTATGATGATCGGACCGCATTTCCAGACGTTCCAGAACAGAGACATTTGTTGGGGAAAGGAAGGTAGAAAAGGTAGTCACTCTCAAATCAAGCAGAGCACGTTTTAAGGAAGGAAGCTCGATACCACCAATACAGTTCAAAATGAACTGAGGCATCGGCATTGGCGATGTCGAAGAACATGGATAAATGGAAAGACTACCGCAGCGGTTTGCACAAGGAATGAGGAGGTCCAGACCTTCACCAAGACTGTCCCAGGATGTGGGTGATTCCCTTACGGGATCCAATTGCGGTCCACCACCAATCTCCACCGTAGACCGGAAACTTGGCTGGTTCAGCATCACATCCCTCCAATGCCGCCATACACGTGCCAGGATCTTCTTTCGCGTAGAGTCTGTTCCACGGAGAGCAAGACGCAGAATTGACGAGAGTAATTCTGCAAGGAGGCGATGGATGGTGGTCTTTTACGCACCGGTTCCTCGTCCTCTTACTCTGCGCCACCGCTGCTACACGGACGTCCGATAGTTGTTCAAGAAGCTGTCGTTCATCTTCCTCTAAGTGGGCTAACTTGGTTCGTGCTATAGCCAGTTCATCCATGTCGATGGCTCTGCTGGACGGTCGTTGGTACCGAGAGCTGAAAGGCTTGGGGACACCCAGACTCCCAACAGTTCCTAATCTGCCTGTGAACCAGCATTAGACTGCTACAAAGCTTCCCACGCAGTCGACATGCGTCAAGTTTACTTTGGCTGTGTACGCGCATTAAACAAAAATAATCTCCGGGTAACCTTGCCTGCCGGCAAGGTCTGCCGATTGGGTGTCGACCGGTTGGATGTCACTTCGCACCCGGAGAAGTAGTTGGATATGGTCCCAGAAGAATGGTCCACCCCTCCCGCCCATGGCGCTAGAGGTGTTCGACATCCAGACATTCTTGGCTTCGCCCAGGTCCTCCCTCACAACCATAGATTTGACAAGATTATCCAGGAAAATAATATTTCATCAAAGTAACGTACGAGTCCGAGTGCTATACTTTGTACCTGCGACCAGTTTTCGTAAAGAATGTTTGAAGTACGTAGACCTGCAAGCTATCCGGTCGTCAGAAAGACTGGAAGGTTAATTACAGGAAAAAAAAAAAAAAACATACATAGCCATTCCCACTACAGCCAGGCTTTCGCAAACTGCATACCAGAATAAACGACTGGAAGGTGAAACGATCAGCACGGCACACGAATCAGCATGGCTCGTAATACCTTTGTGTACTCTTCACCAACGAGAAACCTCGTGTCTCTCGTGTGTGGAAACTGAAAGACGGTCAGCAGAGCGTACCGAGGTCAGTGATGGGAACTCACTATCTCTGTGTCCGCTTTATGCTGTTCAACATACTGCTCAAACGATATACACTTTCCTCCAGCGGACTGGTATGATCCGCTACTTGGCCAGGCTTCGCTGCCACTTCTCTCCGCGGTTCGCTTTCCACCATGATGTCAAAGTCGATGAGCTTGTCTGTCAACGTGGACATGTCGTTTTCAAAACAAAACGAGTATTCTCCAACGGTATTCGCTGTTAGCACGTAGTCTCCCGAGCGCTCGCGTTGACCGTCAAGAAGGACCTTCTCGTTCGGGTCTTTCACATCAAAGTCGATGTCAAAAGACCCTCCAGCTTGCACCTTTGGCACTCGTCCACATCACTGTATAAAGCCATAAAACTGTGTACACTCACTGCGAAGTAAAACTGGACATGTACGTCAGTACCACATAGACAACTACTACCCTCATACATACGCCAATCTTCTCTCCTGCCTTGTCGACATCAGCATAGAAACAGAGGCGTTCATTAGGAGCAACTGAAGTGGTCAATGCTGAGGCCCTTGCACGCCCTGCAGCTGCCAGCAGCGACGCGCATAACACGAGAACATTGAACACGAGCATGTCGTTGGGAACAGCGGAATATGATGTTTTCGGCGCTCGAGTTGCCGCAAATGCGGAGATCAAATAATATTTGATGTCCGCGTAACTCAGATCTCCCCCTGTGTTATAAGAGAGACGCGACGCGTCGAATAACCCTGCGCCCCTTTTCTCTCTTTCTCATCAAGTTGTCCAGCGTTTAGACTGTAAAAGAAACACCTCCGTTGCTTGTCACAGCGTAACGCATTCTTCTCCACAGATGTACCCAGGCCAACGCTTGCCCGCGAACTCGTTTTGTGAAGAGCTGCTCGACGCAACACACACTCAACGCTATTCGATGGATCATGACGACATTCAGTGGATGTGTCCTGTCATGAGCAGTAACTCTGCGTTTTCTAGTGACCATACAAAACGCTATATGCGGTCACCTGTCCGGGAATCGACCCCGTATCGATCTCAGTACCTCTCGAACATCAGTCCACCCCCCTGGCATACTTTCCCACGAGTATTCTCTATCCAGTCGACACCGTGCCCCGGACATCCGACGTACACGCAAATGATATCGTCGCCAAGTCCTTTGTCTCGCAATACGGCCTTGCTCCGCCCAGATTTCTCACCTCCGTTTCAAGGGAACACGCCCTTTGAGCGACAATTCACCAGCGACCTTCCCTTCGCCGAATATATCAGTTTCAATACCGACCTGTCTCCGGTTTCCCGGAAGGATTCCATTCACTCTTCTCAAAGTTCTTCTCTTACTGATATCCGAAGTGGCACAACGCCTCTGTGTAACGACAGGGCCCGGAATTTGGAACTGTATTCAACGACCGAACGTGTATCCTTAATCGAGAGGTTTAAGTCCGTTGCCCGAGACCCTGATGGCGATTCCCAAAAGCGTTCAATATCACCTATCTCTGACGCTTCATCTCTTACTCCGTTGTCTTCTCCAGACCAGTTTGTCGGACGGCATGCGCCAAGGGAAGCGAGTACACCCCCCACTTCCCCTGTCCAATATTCCTTCCGGAATGCGACGGAGACCGCCGAAACCAATCGTCCTGCTCGTGATCTGCCTTCAGTATACTTGACACAAGAATCAAGTAAACGATCCGATGATTTTGAACGGAAGCGAAAGCCAGTTCCAGCATGCCACTACTTCGCACACATGGGCGAAAATTGTCACAAGCGAAAGAAGTTACGGCCACTAAACGAAACCGATGCTATATCTATCCTACCAATTTTCGATTGCGATAAACCCACACGCCGTCTCCTGCCAGCTGGTATTCCGTATCATCCACAGTTTTCACTGTTCTACAGGCGTTTCCCCGTTAGCTCTCACATTCAAACTGCAGACGGAATGTCAGTCCTACGGATAGATTCCCGACATTACGCGTGGATATTGTTTATCAATGTATACTGACTTTGGTCCTATCCAGATTCGCACCCCTTAGCTCAAGCTTGCAGCACCCTGGCGGACTATATAACCCTCCACATAGTGCCTTAGATCTGTACACTCCGCGCTTCGTACGGGGCTGTGGGACTAGCAAAGTTGGTCTATGCCCGGTATGCGTGGAGAGTCCTGGTCGAGGAGGAAGTGGCCAATGCGTGTGGCTTTCCATGAAGTTCTCTGCGTACAAGTAGTGCGTCCATACCCGAAGAGGTTTAGGCACGGCTCATTTGATCCCTTATAGAGGTTTCTCATCTCTCGACGATTTCTGCTAAGATGTTTTCTAGTTACCACATGCAATATGGGCACGGTATGTATTCTTCCTTTCTAAGACATCCCACGTAGGCTATATATCAAGCAGGCATATCAGCAGTGTCATCTACTCCATTTTCTCCGCCAGTTAGTTTCCGCACGACGAAACGGCGCAATCCTGGAAAAAGGGAGCGCACGCATATACTCGAGGGGAAATGTCACAAGTGTAAGAAGTGGATTCCCGTCGAAAGCTTGAAAGAGTTGGAGATCAAGGTATTGCACTTTCAATATTATTCGTGTAATTGTAACAACATCGATCAAGGTCAAGGAAATCTACTGGTACGTGTGTTGATGGAACCGGTTCTCGGACCTCACTGGCGCAGGTGGAAGCATGCTGCGGCATGTCATCAAGGAACTCACATCGAAGGCGACAATGATTTTTTCGAAGACGATGACGTCTACCGCAAAGTTCGGGAACTTGATCTGTGACTCTACAGCTCCCTCAAATTTCTCTATTCCATTGCTTGACGTTCTGAACGTATTTCTCCTCCGCTTCCCTTCGCTGTTATTATGGTTCGTTTGCGGTGCTCAAATCCTGGTCCGTCAAGTCATGTGTTCGCTCTCCAAGCATGTTGTACCACTACCTCATCGATGCGTCGCGTTCTCCTCTTGTAATTTTGTTTCTAGAAGGCGCATGTACCCATTGTCAGAATAGTTATCGTTATGCCGTATTATCGTTTTTCCTCGAATGCCACGCGATTCGGAATTGTATGCTTGTTTAGTTGCTAGCAGCGCCTATTGACCATTGACTATATACTACCCTAAGACAGTCGCCCCTTCAACAGTTGATGGCACGGTGTGGACTGTTCCTCATCCCAGTGTTCGCGGATGCTTCTCTTGCAATACATGCACACATGCTGACTGAAACACTTGCTTTCACAATGGGATGGGGGTAAAGTAAACTTGAGGCGCGTCGACGCTGGGTTTCAAGGAAGCTGGGTAGCAGTCGGACGTCAGTTGATCGAAGAGAAGTGAGAAGCTGTGAGAAGGCGTAAGCCAAAATTCAGAGTTAAGAGTACCGGTGCTTGAGTTGCTCCGGTCAGCTCTCGAGTCTTGGACTCGTTCAAACGTACTTCTATCTGAAATTCTGCACTTTCTGGGTATTTTCAAAGTCACTCAAGTCCAGTAACTCCTCACCGTTGAAATGGAGTATTGATACCAAACTGACACCTGTCTGACAGGGCCATCGACTTCACATCGTGGATGAACTTGCTGTAGCGCGAGTTGAATTGGGTCGCCTTGAGGAAAATGAGCGAAAGCTTGTTGAAAAGCTATCGGTGTCCGTGTAAAAGCAGTGGCACAGAGGAAGAGGATTGACGAACTGATCCGAACAAGGCCGCCGCTTGTTCAACGTCTCCCTGTAGAGCTGCTCTCGTCAAACTTTCACCTTGCTCTCGGTGGAACCAACCCTTCGCGAAAGGGGATCTTGGCACATGTATCGCGGCTTTGGTGAGGGAGGGGTGATTCTGAACCAGCCCAGTTTCTGATCCACAATAGAAGTTGTTGGCGGGCGGAATTTAAGCCTCGCAAGGGAACATTTGAAGAAAGGTCGCGAGGCATTGCTCGATATCACTTTTCAATGTGGTATTTCGTTCGCATCCTATGGTACTATTGGCGAAGGTCTGGAGCTCCTCGTTCCTTATGCGAACCGCTGGCGCAGTCTTTCCATCTATATGTCGTCTCGGGTGGACATGCCCGTGCCACAGAGTATTTTGGACCGTATTGGCAGTATCGAGATTCCGTCCTTGAAATCTGTTAAACTCAACTTGAGAGCGTATTCCTTCGTCGTGGAGCGCAAGGACTCGTGTTTCATCATTGGATTGGGAAATTTGAGCCAGTGGACCTCAATGACAAAGCACGGTACAGTTAGGGGAGTCCTTACACCCACCAACTCGATACAGCCACAGCAGAATGTGCATTGTGAAAAGGAGCGTTGATTCCGGGGTTTCGAGGCCATTCTAATGAAGCGAGTGGTTCGCGAACTACCACCCCGGTTGGTGCCGGTGGCTGGAGAACATCCAGGACTGGTGTATCTCGCCTTGGGTGAGGCCAAAGCTGTCTTCATACTTTGTTCGTGTCGAGGGCGTTAAGTCGTGATTTTGACTATGCTGGCGTACCATTGACCAGCGCACTTATATACATAAGGAAAAGACGACCCTATGGTTCCAGACGAGCAGACCATCGGATTATTGGAAAAGATCGAAAAGGGGACCCCATCAGAGAAGCTTCCTACGACGGCGAGGGAATACGATCAAAAACTCGTTGGTACATGAACATGACTGGTATCTGGAGAGGTCTCCAAAGGCCCTCAGCGGCGATAGTTAGGTGGCTAGCAGTGACTGGTACTAGGGGTGATAGGGGCTGCCCCTATCACTCCTACCCTATCAACCCCTACTTCCTTCGTACCCTTGCTGCGGCCACTACCCTTCTCTACCATACAGCCTTGGCTTCTGCGACTGGCTGGTTTTACGATCCTGAGACAGAGCCAGCATGTTCATGTCTATGAAAAACTTCATCACTTGCTGGCTAACATACTGCTCTAGCTGACCCCATGTAGTCCATTTAGTCACAACATATAGGTAGCCTGCATGCCAAAATGCCAACACTTATATAGACCCTGTGATGGGCCATCTAAATAGATTAGCCATGACACATGGACAGGCCTGAGGGCCTATAGTGAGAGCAACATATGTATGGGCCCATAAATGCAATTCCACAACATATGGGAGGGCCTGTGGAGGGTAAGGATGCTGCAACATATAGACAGGCCCATGACCAAGTAAGTATGCTAAGCTACTGTAAGACATGGACGGGCCTGCCTATTGTATCATGAAGAAGGTTGCAACATATGGACAGGCCCGCCCGTCATATGCTTTATAGGGTCACAACATAAAGAGGGGCCCGTCTATGATAGATTACAGAGTTGGCAACATTGTTGGAGTTTATCACCTTTACCTTAGTTGTGGTTCACCGAGCACAGCATTATGTAATCCAAAAGCGGACACTTAGCAGTTTATTTTTTCCTTACTGCACCTCAGCTTTAACCAACTTGAAGTCTGAGGTGGGACTCCTTCCATTCATTATATTGGAACACTTACTTACCTACCTACAGTATATTCCTCTCCATAGGTAGTTCATTGTTTAGCTTCAACCAACTTGAAGTCTGAGTATATTCCTCTCCATAGACTTGACAATCCTGCAGTGTGTCATCCTCCAAAAGGTTATGAGCCCTGCCTGCAAGTTCTAATCCTAGGAAAATTGAACACGTCAAGTCTGGTACAAAGTGTCTACTATGTCTGGTCTGTCAGCATCCACTTCCAGTCCCTCAAAGGTCCCAGTCTCCACCTCAACAGTAACCTCTACTACACCTTCAGGTAAAGCTACTCAAGCCTCCAGTTGACTCTATGACATACCATCCCTCGAAGACAATGGTTCGAACTTCCAGACATGGAAGTACTGAATTATGATGATCCTAGATGTCTGTGGACTTTGGGAGCTCATAGAAGGAAAGTTGAAGGCACCTGATGCAGCAGCTGATCCAGTTGCATGTGCAGACTGGCACTACAAGGATAAAGAAGCAAGGGCTCAAATCACGCTTACTCTAAAGGACGACCCACTCAGTGGTGTTCTGCATGCCACGACAGCAGCAGAAGTCTGGAAAAAGCTATGCGAGCGCTATGAAGGCAAAGGGAAACAAATGATAGCCTACCTTATAGGCAAACTATTTTGTGGTACCCTAGCAGATGACGTCTCGATGGAGACGCAGCTTAATGCCATGTGGCAGAAGGCAACAATCCTAAAGTCTCTGGGACAGCCCCTTGAAGACTCTCTTGTTGCCATAGCCATGGTCATCTCCCTTCCAACCTCGTACTCAACCCTTTGCACTATACTCATGTTGTCCAATGAGAAACTAACTCTGGACTCTGTCATTTCCCAAGTCTTGATAGAAGAAAAGTCTTGCTGCACCTCTTTGGCACAAACTGCCCTCATAACAAAGACACCTAACAAAAAGGGAAAGAGGAATGACAAGAAAAAGAAAAAGGCTTGTGGCTATTGTAAGAAGATGAACCATGCTGAAGATGACTGCTACAAGAAGAAGGCTGATGAGGCAGCCAAGTCCCTGTCACAGGCTGAAAAGGATAAGCCTAAGGAGGACAAACTTGTTGCTAAAGTCGCACGCATCTCACCTGTTGAAGACAGCGCCCTACAGCTCTTCATGGCCACTGACAATGGTGAGAATCTACACACACACTGGGTCATTGACTCCAGTGCCTCTGTGAATATGTGCTGTCAGCAGAAATGGTTCACTTTGCTAAAGATGCTCTCACCCCCACAGCCTGTAGTCATTGGAAATGGGAGCACAATTCCTGCTACTGCCATTGGATGGATTGAACTTCGTATGGATCTTCCAAATGGGAAGACCAGTAGAATCCTACTACAGAAGGTCTATTTTGTTCCAGATCTCAGCACAAACCTCCTCTCGGTGGCATACCTTGCCACTAGAGATGTCCAGGTCACCTTCATGGGTGGAACATGCTCAATCACCGACGGTACAGACACTGTAGGTGTGGGCCATTGTCAGGGCTCACTCTACATCCTTGCAGCAAGGACTCACTCTCTGAGTCATGGAGCACTTGTCATACAAGGACCATCTCCACTACTTGACCCTACCCTTACTTTCCTGGCTCTCGCAGCTGCAGCACCAAAGTCCATAGCCACACTTGACTTGTGGCATCGACGACTTGGGCATGCAAGTACAAAATCTGTGCTTAAACTGGTTAAAGCAGGAATGGTTGAAGGCATGGAGCTTACCGGCACTGAGCACTCGAACTCTGTATGCCAACCTTGCCTTGAAGGGAAGCAACACCATAAGGTGACACCTGTCAGGTCACACATTGAAAGCCCAACAGTACTCTACCGCACATACTCTGATGTATGTGGCCCCATGGAGACTACAGCCTGAACTGGACACTGCTACTTTGTAACCTTCATTGATGCTTGCTCGCACCACCTTGTGGTTAAACTAATAAAATCCAAGGACAAAGTCTTCCCCTCAGTGAAAGACTACCTCACTCAAGCTGAGGTCAAGACTGGTGAAAAAGCAAATTATTTTCGGAGTGATGGAGGTGGGGAGTATGGCTCAGATGAGTTCAAGGCCTACCTCAAGTCGGAAGGGGTCCACCACGAGAAGACGAATGCCTATACCCCACAGGAGAATGGTGTTGCCAAGCAGATGAACTGCACACTTGTTGAAAGTGTGCAGGCAATGCTAAAAGATGCTGGACTGCCAAATAAATATTGGGGAGATGCTATCCAGTATGCGGCCTACCTAATCAACCGATCACCAACCTGTGCTATCTCCAAGGATGTCACACCATATGAAGCCTTTACAGGGATTAAGCCATTGCTGGCCCATATCCAAACCTTTGGCTGCACCACACATGTACATATACCTGAGGAAAAAAGAAAGAAGCTAGATGCAAAGTCCTTAGAATGCATTCATCTGGGCTTTGTGGAGAACAAGAAAGCATACCTATGCTTACACCAGCCCACTGGTCATGTCTTCAAATCCTGGGATGTAGTATTTGATGAGGGAAGCACAGCAGTGGGCCTAGATCGCATCTGGATAGAAGAAGATCCTGCAGGCATGGTTAGTAAACCAGCAGACATAAGAGGGAATGCCCAAAAGGGCAATATGTTGCACC